TTCAAACTCTTAAACTAACACTCATTATTTCTTCTCCAGCTCGAATGTAGAACGACCTTCGACGAGGCAAACACCAATCTTTGCTGATGCAATCGTTGATGAGAAAGCAATTAACATTCAAGCGGAAAGAAAACGGTTATGACAAAACAAATATAAGTTTGAGCGGCTTTGGTTGTCTTGTATTGTTTTTTTTTTTAAGCAAAAACGAAAAAATAACTAAGACGCAATGGTATTTACTGGAAGTGAATGAGAATTAAAGACTTTAGTGAGGAGAAAGGACAATAAAAAAAACAGGTTTTAGGAAGACAGAAGATGGCGATAATGCCACTAAGACGCAAAATTTTTACTGGGGAGTAAAAAAGAATAAAAAAGACTTTAGTGAGGAGAAAGGACAATAAAAGAACAGGTTTCAGAACAAGACCTAACAAAGGGCGAGGGTGTCTCGATAAATCACCGTGGAGAAGGCAACGGTTTTAGGAAGACATAAGATGGCGATAATGCCATTAAGACATAAAGGTGTTAGTTACAAATTTTAGTTTAAATGGAAAAATTTTAATGGGGAAAAAGGACAATAAAAGAACAGGTTTTAGGAAGACAGAAGATGGCGATAATGCCCCTAAGACGCAGGGGATTACTAGAAGTCAAAGAGAATGAAAAGACTTTAGTGAGGAGAAAAGACAATAAAAGAATACTGTTCAGAAAGGCAGAAGATGGCGATAATGCCCCTAAGACGCAGGGGATTACTGGAAGTGAAAGAGAATGAAAAGACTTTAGTGTGGAGAAAAGACAATAAAAGAATACTGTTCAGAAAGATAGAAGATCTAAATAATTTTAAGAAGACGCAAAGGTGTAGCTGGGAGCGGAAGACAATGATTAGATTTTTAGTGATATCAAAAAAAAAAAAAGATAAAAAAAAAAATTTTTTTCAGGAAGACAGAAGATGGCAATAAAACCACTAAGGCGCAAAAATTACTGTGGGATAAAAAGAAGAAATTTTTAAGACTTTAAAAGGAGAAAAAGACAATAAAAGAACAGGTTTCAAAAAAGACCTAAAAAAAATCGGGGGAACTTTATCTGAGTCAACGGTCATTTGAAACTAGAGGTGGTGTCTCGATAAATCACCGTGGAGAAAGGCAAATATAAATAACCACTCTACTATCAATCAAAAAACAAATCATGATAGCAGACCTAATTGTTGATTAATCATTCCATTTTATGCCAGTTGGAAACATGAGACCAAGAATTCATAACTACAACTATACTTTTTTATTAATAATCCCTCCATGGTGGATGGGAATATGACTGAAGTCGAAATGCCAGATCAGGACTGATAACATTACAGACCCTTCTTTGGATTTTGTTGAGAATCTCGCGATATAAAGTAGCAACACCAGACCAAATATGGTAGCAATATTCATTGCACGGAGGAATGGTAGCTTTGTAAATGGGCAAGAGGAATTCTGGAGGGAAAAATTCTCTAGTTCGACACAGTGAACACACTTCCACAGTGGCAGACGTTTCTTTTCTTTTTATGTGCCATGTCCTTTCAGGACGTAGGCGATCCTGTTTCTCCCCCTCCCCCCTCATTCCCTTGCAGCTCTCAACAAGTTCCTTCCCTCTGCTTCCTCCCCCAGACCACGTTCTGTCATCTACTTGCTTAAGCCCATAGGTATGTATGTCGCGTTGTTTTTCTTTTTCTCTTTCCCCTCTATTCGACCCGTGAAATCAGATTCTCCAGGCCCTCCTTCCAGGGGTTATCAGTCCCAGAAATTTCAGCTGACTCTTCCTGATGTCAATTATAAGCCTCCTCTATTAGGACAACCTTCAAAAGCTTGACGACACTTCGCAGATGTCTCTCCCGAGTAAGACCCCCCCCCGCATAGAGGAGAACATGACTAAAGACTGTGTGTACGTTGTCCCGTGCAGCTGCGGAAAGGAATATAAAGGAGAGACAGGCCGCCCCCTCAAGGTAAGGCTTCAAGAACACCAGAAAGCTGTAACACGAGGGGAAGTAGAAAAATCAGACGCGGCTGACCACATATGAAGAGAGAAGGGAGATCACCGCCCTCTGTGGGATCATGTTGAGATCATAGACGAGGAACACCATTGGAAAATTCGTAAACTTAAGTAATCAGCACATATGCTAGGCCACAAAAATCTCCTGAGCCAACCAAGCATAGAAATAAATACAATATGGGAACCAAGGAAAGGTGCCAGAGAAAAGCAATGATAACAAAGTTTTGCAATATGAGCTCTGGTAAAAACATGCATTGATAACAGAAAAATTGCAATATGAGCACTGGTAAAAATGATGCTGAAGACATTAGGTTTATAATACCCAGAAATTCATACCCACATGGCACAGTGGATAAAGGTGTTGGTTAGACCCAGTGACAGGACCCAAAGAGTGTGAGTTCAATACCCGGTTAAGGCAGTGGAGAACTTTCAGAGGAAAATTAACAGGAGATAACTGATAACTGACATCCATTAAACATGGCACGTGGAACTAGAACAGTCTACCCCAGTGATCGAAATAAAGGGTTCAGTTCGAAATTCCAACCACCTGAAGAAGGCCGGAGCGTACAACGGCCGAAACGTTGTGATAAATATGGCGACAATAGTCCGAATAATGGAAATAATGTACATAATACCTCATCTCAGAAATATAGACAGCCTCATTGCATCCTCTGTAAGACCTCATCGTTGCTCACACGCTCTGTCCATGAAAGTTAACCGCAACATTTCACAAAATGCTCATTTGATTCGAATATAGCAAGAATTCACACGAGGTCCCATTTGTAAGTAGAAAGAAGCGCTTTTTTCCACATTCCTGGATAAATGCATATTGTTTTAGTAAGTGGTAATGGGACTTATACACTCCCTTTTCGGTAAGTATTCCAGTTGAAATATCTGCGATATTCCAAGTTCCGAGTGAAGAGGCTCGTTAGGAAACAACTAGGACAAAAAACAAGACCTAACAAAGGGCGGAGGAACTCTCTGAGTCAACGGGAAGCTAACTAGAGGTGGTGTCTCGATAAATCACCGTGGAGAAGGCAACGGGAAACCACTCTACTATCAATCCAAAGACAAATCATGATAGCAGACGTAATTGTTGATTAATCATTCCATTCCATGCCAGTTGGAAACTTGAGACCAAGAATTCATCACACCAACTATATTTTTGGATTAATAATAACGCCACCCTAATCTGGAAATACACTTACAACGAAAATGTTTGCTGGGGGGGGTGAATGAGAATATTTTGGAAAGGACAATAAAAGGAAATCCTTTTCTTTTATGAGCCGTGTACACTCAGGACGTAGGCGATCATGGGTCTCCACAGCTTTCTGTACATTGTAGGGTTTTTTATAAATTTTGTCTTTCTGTTATACCTACGAAACTCTGTTTCGCTATCCGTTTACTAAAGCTCACTAAGTATATGTTGCTCTCTTGTCCCTCTTGCCCTCAATCCGTCCTGTGTGTATCAGATTCTCCAAGCCCTCCTTCCTCATTACGTGTCTCAGAAACTGCAGCTGCTTCTTCCAAATATTAAGTATAAGTTTGCTTTTTGTTTCCATTTTCTCCAAAACTTTGTAATTTCTCAGATTTTCAGTACATAGTATCCTCAGCATCCTTCTGTAGGATCACATTTTTGTTGTTTCAAGTCTCTTCTTTTATCTTTGGGGAAATTGTCTCGCACTCACTGCCCTATAGGAGAAATATCACGTAAAGGTTTAGTACTCTTTTCCTTGTTTCCGGTGAAGTTTTTCTGTTTTTTTAGTACTCTGCTTAGATTTTGGAAGGCATCTTTGGCTATACAAAGACGGATTCGAATTTCGGTGTCACAGATTCCTTCCTTTAAGAACGCTTCCTAGATATTTAATTTTTTGTAATTTTTTATTTTGGTATCTCCGATTTGCAATTCGCACTTTGGGCTCATCCTTTTGCTAACAACCTGCGTTCTGTCTTCTTGCAATTGGTGTTTTATCTTGCTACTCGCTTTATTAACTGTTGTAGGAATTTTAGTAGTTTCCTTTCAGTGTTTGCTATCAACGTTGTGTCATTTTTATATCTTATGTTAAGATTGTGGCCGCCAATAATGAATTCTATTAGACTTCTAATTCTCTCAAAAACGCCTCGCTGTAAAGTCTGGTGAGAAGACACCACCTTGTCTTACGCCCCTTCCTATTTTTGTATATCTGCTGAACTCATTTTCTATCCGTATGCAGGCCCTTTGCTGCCTGTATACAGTGGCCTAAGTAAAGTTTTTAGCCAAGAGAAACAAACTACATCCTATTTCAAAATGTAATTACGTAATTCCAACTCAACATACAAGGTGGGTAAGCAAAATTTGCAATATTTTGAGACAGGAATTGAAAGACTTTAAATGACCAATTAGTTTATTGAAACTTGAAGGAATTTATTTTCCACAAAAAATTTACATACTAGAAATTATTTTTATTCAATATGTCCTTTTTTCTCAATAACTATTTCCACACGGCTCTTGAAACTTGCGCATTTCATCTTTGGAGTAACAATTGGATTTAGAAAATCACAGATTCTTTCACGTTTGCTTTCCGGATTATTCATATAGATAAAGGTTTTTGAAATGATATAAATAATATTATTAAATATAGTTGTGGCATCAATATATGGTAGATTTAAAAAAGAAAAGTAAGCGTACTATTTGCTGAGAAAATTCAACTAAACTTCCCCACTTTGTAAATAAACAATATTTGGAACTAGTATAGAATAGGTCCTCCATTTGCTAGTTTCAGTGCTTGTATTCGATTTTTCATGGATTTGATCAACTTATCAACAATCGTCTGATCCATATTTTGACACTCTTTTATCAATGCTACTTTAAGGGTTGCCACTGACGTGATTTTGGTTGCACGCTCTCGAAGACTCCGGCCAAGGTGCTCCCAAACGTGCTCTATTGGATTCATATCAGGATTTTAGGCTACCCATGGAAGTGACTTGATTTCTTGTGATTACTT